TCAAGGGTAGTTCTGAGACAGTGCCGAGTAGTCTTCAGTAGTTGACGCGCTGGGCACCAGACCAGTTCTCCTTTCGACCAGACTGTTTCCTTTCGACCTAGGACACTAGGCCCAGCGTTATATATAGTTGGGCCAACCTCATTCTAGGCAGGTAGTCCGAAGTAGTTCTCATAGGTAGTTCTGAGACTGTGCCAAGTAATCTTCAGTAGTCGATGCGTTGGGTGCAACTAACGTAGTCTACAGCGCTGGGCGCGAGCTAGGAGTTGGAGCGTTGCCACGGCACGCGCGCGCGCGCGCGAGAGAGAGAGAGAGAGAGAGAGAGAGAGAGAGAGAGAGAGAGAGAGAGAGAGAGAGAGAGAGAGAGAGAGAGAGAGNGAGAGAGAGAGAGAGAGAGAGAGAGAGAGAGAGAGAGAGAGAGAGAGAGAGAGAGAGAGAGAGAGAGAGAGAGAGAGAGGACTTTGAGACATGGTAACATTCGGGCATTGGCCATTTCAGTGGCATTGCGACTTGACATGGTATGAGCAGCGACATTGGGGATACATTGGAGACTGGGTTCATTGGTCTATGGTGGCTGGTCCTCCCTATCCCCCTCTTCCCCCCTTCGTCTCTTCTCCCTCTTTCTAGTAGTGATGATGTATGCTGTCAGGTCCTGTCATTGTCCATGCTGAGTCAGATTTTGGTATTACAGTCTTCCGCTGTGCTATTTTTGTATTGTCTCTGAGAGGTTGGCTCTTGGTTCTGATCGATGCCGATTAGGCATGCGACAGACATCGATTGATCTGAAGTCATTTGTGCTTGAGCCATGCTAGACCCACTACTATTGGCTGGCGGGTTAGAGAGGCGCCAGTTGGCAAATGATTCAATAAGACTCTCTAGAGTGACACCATTCTCTCTCTCTTGTGGACGAACCCTCCTCTTCACAATCCTTATCCCCTCAAGATGATCACTCTCCCTCTCTCTCCTTTCTCTCTTTCTCTTTTGCGATCGTGGTTCAATGGGCATCGGAAAAACTCCTAGCCGGAGCGGCAATTCATCTGGACTGGTGAACGACAATTAAACAAACATAAAAAAAAAAAAAAAGCAACAAGAGTGGTCTGATTCAGCAACCCGGTCTGGTCAGATCAATCACGAGATCCCCTCCTTCTTGGTATAGCTCAGCTCAGTGACAAGAACAGTAAATTAGATACAAGGGGCGGACTGTGTGTCAGAGTCTCAAACGCGCAGCCAAGATCCACTTGAAAGTGAGTGTCCCAACCAAAAGTACGTTCTCCTAGTTACAGGAAAATAGAGAGTTGCTTATAGTGGCAACAGACTTTGGTCCAAGGGGGCTCTCCCTCGTTAGGGCAGGTCCCACTGGGTACCAAGAGGTCCCAGGTAGGCCGGTGCCCAAGCCAAACTAAGAAAGGTCTCACCTTGTCCCCCAATCTGTCCCTGCTGTACCTAAAAAAGAAAAACAAGAAGGAAGCTACTCAACTACAGCCATTCAGAATGAAAAGATAAAGCACGATAGAAAGATATGCAGTCCTATTCAAGATACTTCATCCATCCATCCATCAGGTGAGAGAGCAGTCTACAAATTCATGCACAAGTTGCACAACAAACAAGATCGTACAGGGTAGGAGAAGAGTCCCAGCATACCCCATCAGCCCATGCAGCACCATGCACCACCATGGGCACCCCTCAGTTACACGGCACTTACCTGTGTGGCCCGGCCTCTTAGATGAATTATAATTCAGACTCCTCTCACCAACAAGTACCGCTGTGATACCAACTGTTATGATCCTGGCTATTCCGAAGTGCATTAGCACAGAGAAAGTAATGTTGTTCAATTGCAAATGAAACAAAAGAACCTGGAGAGAGAAATAAACATACGAAGAAGAAATAGGAAAGAAGGAAGAAGAAGATGTACACCTGCAAGGACCAATGACAATTCCCCCTTCAACTCGTCAACTCACTCCATCCTCCTTATCTCCCCCAGCCTTTTCATTCAATAAATAATAATAATAACAATGAATGACTGAACTAGAACAAATGTCCACATCTCCTCCTTACTGCCAGCAGTACATGAGGTCCACCGTAGCCACGACCTACACCTTTGGTGGTGTCTATGGCGGACTAGTGGTCCTAGCCCTGATGTCCAGAGGATAACGTGAAAGCTATATATGTCCCCTCCTAACTCAAACTGCCATGCCGAACTCTGCCCTGAAGCCTTCCTTTCAGCAGCGCACCCCCACTGGGGCCTTCCAGGTGCAGTGCCAACCAAGAAGATGAAGATGTCATCCACCACAGCCAGGTAAGTACCCCGTCACTCTCCTCCTCCCCCCGTCTTCCTCCTTTTACCTGAGCTGCTCCGCCATAGCCAAGGCTCGAGCGCCAGGTCTCCTTCCTTCTCCCCGGCACTGGACATGGCCAGCGATCGCTCCAGCAGCGTGACGCCAAACTTGCACACCGCAAAATGAGGTAGAGCAATGACTGTTCTCCCAAGATATGCCGGGCAGCTTGCCTCCTGAGCAATCCAGTACCTTCTTTCAGAGGGAAACGTCATTGCAGGTCTGATATCACCCGTTACAGGCCCTAGACACAGACTACTGGACTGGTACCCCTAGACCTAAGCCCACCGGACTTCAAAAATTCACTCGACCTCTGAAGGTACTAACTTTTTGTCCTTTTCTGCCTACCTAGCACTAAAGTGTTTTCTAACCTACACTGGCCTACCCTACCCACTACTGAGTGTTTCCAGCTACGTGGGCCTAGCCTACCGCTAAGTCCCCACGACAACCGCACAAAAGCACGGCCACAGGTAAGTACCAGGCCCGAGGGCCTTCCAAACATACAAGTACCCTGACGGGTCACACACACACACACACACACACACAGACTTATAATTCTCAGCAAAAAGGGGGAATCTCAGCAAGGCACACATTCCAGTGGCAAAACTCAGAAAGCAGCAGAGTTCTCAGTCCGTGATTTTGCAGGTGATTACATATGTAACAAGCGTAGTGATAATCTACGGTGCGCCATCAAGTACAAGGTTGAACTTTTGTCAGGTCTCCCAAGCGATGCTTTACTAAATGGAACTGGTGAAGTTGGAGGATCATAGCATCAACCCACTGATTTTTCTAACGAGGGCTGATAAAGTACAACAATTCATGGGATGGGGCACCTGTTCTATTTATTGCCCTGCGGGTGTTGCAATGTTTATTTAAAAGAAGTAATCGAATTGCAGGAAAGGACATCACTTTTTTAAAAAATCCAGGTAAGCCCACACATGCCGACAAAAAATCAAAATTGCAAACATGTCCCTGCATACATATAAACTCCGACGAAACAGTTTGTCACAGCCCCTCGTTTGTTGTCCTCTTCTACCTCTCTGCCTATGGTTTACCGGGCAGCTCAAGGTACCCGTGACGAAAATTAAAGCAGACTATCACTCACCCACACCAGATGGAAAACTCAACAGACTGTCGGTTCACACCCCATCACAGGCCAGCAAAACACCCACGAAACAAAGAAAGTTCTGTCACAGCCAAAAAACACACTCCCTATATATATATATATACACACACACAAGAAAACTCAGCTCATTTGATTACGCACACCAAAGCAGAGGCCCGGGATCCTCTACTAACAACCTGGAAAGTAATAGAAACGACAAGTGTAGGCGTCGGGGTGAAATCTACCTTCATGGTCAAAGCCAACCTAAAAAACCAGAAGTGCGCTACGGGCCACTCTACCTTGTTACACTATTCTACATCTAAGGATCTCAGTCTATCCTAATGTCAAGAGTCCTAATTTAAGCCCCTATTAGTGGGGATGGGGTCCAAATGGAGCCCTTGTATCAAAATCACACTCCCTCCACCGTCTACACCATCCGCCTGTCTCCTGTGACGGAACCATAACCGAATGTGCAGGTTATTTCCCTGTATTAGAATCTGCAATGCTTGGAATAATGAAAATATAAATATAAATGTCCCTGTATATTTTCATTATTCCAAGCATTGCAGATTCTAAACAGCTTTGCGAAGTCCACGCAAAAGGCTTACACTGCTGCAATAGTGCAGCTTTTCATGGCAGGCACGCTGTCCCGTTGGCTGATGGCCACTGCTCCAACCCTGAGAATTCTCTTATGGACAGTGTTCCTTGGCGTTGTTGAGCACTTCAGTGCTTCGTGCACAGTGTTAGGGGTTGAGCAGTAATCTCTTTAGAAGAAAGAGATGTACTAGTGATGTCGTTGCCCTCTCAAAGTTGGACAACTCTCTGTTTGGATGATAATCAATTTCTGCAGGAGGACACCCCTATTTACAGCAAAGGAGAGACTAGGGCGAGTGTTATCCAGGCAGCTGCTCTTGCTGCCAAGTGGATGGAGCCACCAAAGGATGCTCTCGACACAATGGTTCTTGGTAAGCAGATTCCTTTCATATTTGACTAGAAGCCAAAAGAGTGTGCACAAGCACACTTGTTTGTTTGTTTGTTTCTTTGTTTGTTTCTTTGGTGTTGTGTGTGTGAAATATCTCTCTCTTCGATGTATGTAAAGTTTATCAGCCACGGGCTGTGTCAGAGCCCGTCGTGGCCGAGATTCGTCCTGAAATGCTATATTTTGTCGAGACCTGGTATTGCGTGTGTCAGAAAAGTGGATAGTCTTACAGGTCATCCAGGGTGTCAGTGAGCATAGAGAGCTTGAGAGAATGTCAGAGAGTCTCAGGTGAGCGTAGAGAATGTCAGAGAGTGTCAGGGAGCTAATGTGTCAGAGACTGTCAGAGCGAAACGGAAGCGCAAAGTCAAAGAAACATGTGTGTTGGTTTGGAAAGTTTTGTGAAAATAAGAAATGCACGGTGGGAAAAAACACGTGTGCACCTGCCCGCCCGCCCGCCCCTGCATGCACATGCCTGCCCACCTACCCACCCACCCACACATACACACACACTATGTAAATATAAATATTATATATATATATATATATAGCCCCTCGTTTGTTGTCCTCTTCTCTCTCTCTGCCTACGGTTTTACCGGGCAGTTCTGTTTGTGACGATATATATATATATAGGGTTCAGCCTCCTGATGAGTCGGTGAAACTCCGACGAAACAGTTTGTCACAGCCCCTCGTTTGTTGTTCTCTTCTCCCTCTCTGCCTACGGTTTACCGGGCAGTTCTATTTGACGATATATATATATATATATATACAGGGTTACCTGACCGAATGCTCGGGGGCCCCCGGGCTGGCCCCCGAACGTTCGGGGATTCGGGGTCCCGTTCGGGGGCCGAACACCTCCAGGTTCGGCCCCCGCCAAAAACAATTTCGAGGCCTAAATATATAGCCTCCTGATGAGTCGGTGAAACTCCGACGAAACAGTTTGTCACAGCCCCTCGTTTGTTGTCCTCTTCTTTCTCTCTGCCTACGGTTTACCGGGCAGTTCTGTTTGTGACTGCAGACTGTTGAGGGTTCAGCCTCCTGATGAGTCGGTGAAACT